CACCGTTGGGCAGCACATATGGTCGAACGACATCGGGCGTGGCATGGCATGGCATCACCTCCCTTGGACTGCACACACGGTCGAACGACGTCAAGCGTGGCATGTTATCACCGCCCTTGTACAACACACACGGTCGAATGACGTCGGGCATGGCATGACATCACCGCCCTTGGACTGCACGCACGATCGGACGACGTTGGGCGTGGCATGCCATTATAGCCCTTGGACGGCAAACACGGTTGAACGACGTCAGGCATGACATGCCATCACCGCCTTTGGACAACACACACGGTCGAACAATGTCGGGTGTGGCTTTACATCACTGCCCTTGGACTGCACGCATGGTCAGACGACGTCGGGCGTGGTATGACATCACCGCCCTTGGGCAGCACACACAGTCGAATGAGGTCGGGCGAGGCATGCCATCATCGCCTTTGGGAAGAACACACGGTCAGACTACGTCGGGCGTGGCATGACATCACCGCCCTTGGACAACACACACGGTCGGACGACGTCGGGCGTGGAATGACATCACCGCCCTTGGGCAGCACACACGGTTAGACTACGTTGGGCGTGGCATGACATCGCCGCCTTTGGACAGCACACACAGTCGAACGACGTCGGGCGTGGCATTCCATCATCGCCTTTGGGCAGCACACATGGTCGAACGACGTCGGGCGTGCCATGTCATCACCGCCTTTGGACAGCACACTCGGTCGAACGACGTCGGGTGTGGCATGATATCTTCACCGTTGGGCAGCACACATGGTCGAACGACATCGGGCGTGGCATGGCATCACCTCCCTTGGACTGCACACACGGTCGAACGACGTCAAGCGTGGCATGTTATCACCGCACTTGTACAACACACACGGTCGAATGACGTCCGGCGTGGCATGACATCACCGCCCTTGGACTGCACGCACGATCGGATGACATCGAGCGTGGCATGACATCACCGCCCTTGGACAGCAAACACAGTCGGCAACGTCGGGTGTGGCATGCCATCACTGTCCTAGGACAGCACACACGGTTGGACGACGTCCGGCGTGACATGACATGACCTCCCTTGGACAGTACATACGGTCGGACTACGTCGGGTGTGGCATAACATCACCGTCTTTGGACAGCA